AGACCTTTTTCACATCAGCAACTGATTGTCCAGCTGTAAACAGACACAGTTTAATTTGTCACCATGGAAAGACAGGAAAGAACAGTCTGAGCATCGGATAATACAACACAAACCTCACAGTAGAGTTACTGTACACATCACATGGTTTTAGTAGTCAGGACCACACTACTCACAAAACCAGTGTTAGCTGTTCGTCACTGAAGCATCAACATGTGAATTATTAACATGTACAAAACATGACAGGCAGTCGAAACAGGAAGAGAGCGCCGAGCGGCAGCTTTGTGGAGCGCTCAGACTCGGCAGCGAGCTCAACATCCTGTAGCGATGCTCAGCTGACGCTCACATCAGCCACTTGTCCTTCTCTTTGTTGAAGTTCTCTGCCCACTGGCGTGTTAGCTCCAAGTAGTGGTCTGATTGGTTAGGCTGATAGTCTAGATACAAACGGGTCACAGTTTTCTTGGGCGTGGCCTTCTCTATTTGTGTGCCTTCGTGCCATTGGTTGAAGGACGTAACGGTGACGATTTCTGGACGGACGGACAGAGCTGCCTGCAGGGACGTGTCATAGTAACGCCCGTTAACACGGTTCCTGGTGTTATGGTTGTTCCACGGTCGAACGGCGGTATCCACGTACCCGGGACCAACGCTCGGGACGAACAGCAGATTGTTTGCGTCGCAGAACGCCTTGATGGCCTTCCAGTTCTGGTGGGACGAGCCAAACGAAAAGCCGTTGGAGGCAAAGTACGTGTACATGCCGTCAAAGCCGCTAGCTAGGATGTCGTATTTGTGACGCTCCTCGACAATGAGTGCGACGAAAATCCCATCGTAAGGCGTGCCTCTGACGCTGCGGGCGCCTTTAGCTGTCAGGAGTTCTGCCCAGGACTCGGGCGGCGTCAGGTAGGAGTCGTAGATGTAAAACAGAGGCAGTACTCGCCCGGTGCTCGACTTGAATTTGTAGAAGGCGCCATGTTTTCCATACCTGAGAAAGATGAGACGTGTTAAGCTGCTGTATTCAGTTCAATTTGATTTACACAGCAACAAATCACAACTACAGTCGCCTCAAGGCGCTTTATACTGAAAGGTAGATCCTACAACAGTCATATGACCCCCTATGAGCAGCACTTTGGCGACAGTGGGAAGGAAAAACTCCCTTTTAACAGGAAGAAACCTCCAGCAGCACCAGGCTCAGGGAGGGGCGGTTGATGTGATTTTTAAGGAGGGCGGTGCCACCAAATGAACGAATCACAGCATGTTTCTGAAGCGTCTTTCTGGCTCACTTTGCAAATATATGTGAGCTGTCTAACATATGAACAGGACAGGAAATCAGACACTTCACGGGTCCTCTGGTCAGCTGATCTAGGGCCTTTCACCAGCCTATTTTGTCCAAACCTTGTTGTGGCGGGGTGTGGTCTGCGGCACCGCGACTTGCATCTGCAATCACGCCTCAAAAGTCTGTGCTGACTGTTTAATATTGTCGTTGTTGGCGTGTGTGTTTGTGCGCGAGCTGAAAAGCTGCAGCCGTGTTCGTAACAACTGTGAATAACGAGGCGGATGCTGCAAAGCACGGATGTGCGGACGGGTCTGCGTGTGACGGCTGCACTTGTTTTCATGGTGTGTTTAACATGTTAGAGTCGAACACATCAGGAGCTTTACTGACTCTCCAGTTTGTGTCCTAACATGCAGACGGTCATCGCAGCGGCTTTCACACTAATATCTGTGCCAATATTTTTGGGAAATCAAAAGTAAAGGATTTGTACCAATGATCTCATAATATTGCACTTTAAAAACTACTTTCTATGATGCTTGACTTCTGCAAACACTGGAGCACTATGAAACTGCAGAACAAAGGTTCGCTTCAGTCATTTTTAATCAGTTGAAGGAGCAGAAAGCTGCTGATCTGTGAGATCACAGGCTGGGCATTTATATTTAATGACTTGTTCCTCATCTATCAGGGTTCACGTTCCATCACATGTTTTAATGTTAGCACCAACTGACACAGCCAGCTGGATCACTCAGAGGTAACGGGACACACAGAAAACCAGCTTACTTGTCAATAATGTATCTGATGTTGTCATACACGCTCTGGTCCGTCCGGCCCTTGTACGGCTGTATGTGAAAAGCCACCTGTGCATGAACACATGACAACACAGACGTTACTGAAAAGCAGCACCTGAATCCACAAAAACCTGGAAAGAAAAGTTAAAAAGGTGAAAGTGTTTCTGTTTCTTATGAACAGAAAAGAGAAAGACTGAGTTAGTGG